ACCAAAAACACCTTGTATATTTTTATATTTTAAAGGTTGGGTTAAAATAAAGGTTTTTATTTTTATTTATAGATAGCATGTGAGAAGAAATTTCAGATAGACCAACATGTGAGAACTGCTTCACACATTGCAAAAAAAGGAAAAATAGGCGGAAAACATTAAACTTCAATGGCTAAATGTTTCCAATCTACTTCAAAAAAATTAGATGAGCAAGAAACTTTTAATGAAGACTTGTGTCGCGCATTAGTGTCTGCAAACATACCGCTTTCAAAATTAGCAAATGTAAATTTTAGTTCGTTTCTAAAAAAATATTGCAAAATTAATGTTCCAAGTGATCGGTCTCTAAGAAGAAATAATGTGAACGGGCTATACTCGTCGGTGTTAATTAATATTAGGGAAGAAATTGCAGATAATTATTTTTACATATCTGTAGACGAAACCACTGATTCCTCAGGAAAGTATATTGCTCATTTATTGATTGGTGTTCTTAAAGAAGATACCTTACCAAAATCTCATCTTATTTCATGCCAGCAACTTGAGAAAACAAATGCTTTAACAATTTCGCGTTTTATACAAGAAACATTAGCAACTCTTTTTCTTCCGACAACTATTCCTTCTAATAAATTACTGCTTATTTTATCGGATGCTGCTCCTTATATGGTGAAAGCAGGACAAAATTTAAAAATATTTTTCCCAGATTTAATACATGTTACTTGTGTAGCGCATGGATTAAACAGAGTTGCAGAGGAAATACGAAAAAAGTTTCCTCTTGTAAATACCATGATATCCAGTGTCAAAAAAGTATTTCTTAAATCTCCTATAAGAATTCAACTTTATAAAGAAATGCTACCTAACATTCCTCTTCCACCACAACCTATTTTAACGCGATGGGGAACATGGTTAGAAGCAGCTAATTTTTATGCAGATCATTTTGTTAAAATAAAGAACATAATTGATACGTTAACAGATGAAAGTTCCCAATCTCTTTTGGATTCTAAACAAACTTTTCACAGTAACTTGCTTCAACAAGAACTTTCATTTATAAAATCAAATTTTAGTTTTGTTCAAAATACAATTACTCAGTTAGAATCACCAAAACTGTCATTGTTCGAAAGTACAGCATTAATAAAAGAATTTGCGCCATGTTGTCGGAACGTTAGAGGTAATATTGGAAAAGATATTTTAAAAAAATTTGAAGCTACTATGGAAAAAAATAAAGGTTACCATATTCTTTCTGAAGTAGTCAGTGTTCTAGCTGGAAATATTTCGGAAACAATTAATTTAGAACCAAATGTTTTGGTTAGTTTGAAAAATGCTCCCGTTACATCAGTTGATGTTGAACGAAGTTTTTCCATATATAAATATATGTACTCAGACAGACGCCAAGTTTTTGTTAGAAAATTTTGAACACCACTTGGTCATTTATTGTTACCATAATTCTAAATAAGTTTATTCATACTTAAAAATGATATAGTTACTTAAAATAAATGTAAATCTTAATGAATAGTAGGAAATATTTAGTTATGTAGACTTTTTTTTTTAAATAAAATTGTTACTATTTTACGATTTTTTTATTTATTTGTATGCATATTTTGTAAAATATTTTGCATATTTTCGGGTAAACACGTGCATATTTATGCGCGTATTTTCTACATTTTTATTTGCATATTTGCCGAAGTCTAGTTATAATGCTTCCATGATGTGAAATGTTTAAATCTGTTATCTTCACTCGACGGCTAACTGTTTATAATGAGAGTTTCATCCCCGTTGGTAAAAGATCCAAATTCCCCATCCTTGCGTGTGTCTGGCATGATGCAAATACGTGGAAGGAACAAAGAAGAAATAACTAGTACAGTATACAAATTTTTAATGACTGCTTGTGGTGATGTAAAAAACATAGTATTATGGATGGACAATTGTTCATCGCAGAACAAAAATTGGGCCTTTTTAAGTTTTCTTGTGTTTTGCATTAATTCAGAGTACACTAATGCTGATACCATTGACGTGACACCATTGACATTTTGAGCCAGGACATACATTCATGTCTTGTGACTCATTCATGAGTCCAAGTCCATTCAACAAATGTAGAAATGAATCCAAGTGACTTTTTTGAATGGAAAAACTATGCTGAAAAAAGAACTTCAACATCAACAAAGAGTGGTCCAGCTGGAACGACAACTGCTACTACTAGCCAGGAGAAAGCTGATGACGATAATCTGCCCTATTTACTAGATATTGTCCAGTTCAAGCTAAGAGATGAAAAAACATTCTTTACTACAAAAAAGATTACAATTCTACGTAAAAAGAACTCAACTTTCTTAATAATAAAGTATATTAAAAACTAGTATGACATTGCCACAAAACTACGAACGCCCAGTGGGTATTATCGCGTCAAGAAAAAATAACATAATAAAAAATCTTCTGGATTCAGATAAAGGAACCGTACCACAAAGTCGGTTTACATTTTGGAACCAACTGTCAGTAAATGATAATAATAATGATTCATTATACCAGTTCCATTTATTTACTATTTTTATGACTGTGTTTTATTTTCTGTTCATGTTGTAGTAATAGTGTATCTTAGCAAAATGTTTTTTTATTTAAGCCTGAGTCATCGTTAATAAGAACAACACTGTATTTTTGTTTTATTATTATTCTTCCTGCCTAGCCAAATACTAAGGATTTTTACTTGTAATTGCATCATACTAGACTAATTTAGAGGTATCTGAGCACATACACCCTAATCCTCTTAGTAAAATGTACTTACGGCAAAAACGACCTGGCATCGGGGTATATTATATAAAATAAATGTTGTAGTAACTGCAGTAATTAATGACTGAAGGATAATTTAACAAAAAATGCACTCTTCTAAATTAAATTAAATATTTACAAAGCAGTAACAATAAACAGAACATGTTAACAAGTTATAAGGTCAACTAATAGAAAGTCAACCAAAAGAAGAATGGAAAACAATTAGAGGTAGTAGAACAGATAGAAAAGAATGCAGTAGGTTAACTCTAATAGCCCCAGAATTATGGGTCGAATATTATGAACAAATGCTGACAGAAGATCGAACATAATTCCAAGATATTGGCTACCAAAAATATGATATTTCCTACCGCGAAGAAACTGAAATAACACCAGAAGAAATTAAAAAACAAGCCAACGCTATGAAAAATGGAAAGGCTCCAGGACCGGGGGGAGTACTTATTGAACTGATTAAATATGGGCCTGACAAACTATTTCAGCTATTGGCTTATACTTTTAATTTATTCTTGAGAGGAAAAGAGCTACCCCCAGAATGGAAAACTGCATATATCAGCAATCTATACAAAAATAAAGGCGACAGAAAAGATTGTAAGAACTACCAAGGGCTTAGTGTAACTAACTCAATCAGTAGAGTCTACGGGAAGATAATTAAAAGCCGAATAGAAGATTGTTGGGCAGACACTGTAGATCAGAGTGGCTTTCGTACTGGTCGTTCTTGTATAGGCAATGTGTTCTGCCTAAAACAAACAATAGAAAAGCGTTTGGAACATAATATGGAGACACACATGGTATTTATTGATCTTCAAAAAGCGTATGACAGTGTCCCATTAGCCAAGCTATGGCAGGTGCTAGAAGGCAAGAATATTCCACCGATTTACATTAATGCTGTAAGGGAGTTGTACGATGATATGACGAGTGTAATAAAGATTGGACAAAAAGTCACAAAAAAGATAAAAATGACCAAAGGACTTCGCCAATATATATATATATATATATATATATATGTGTGTGTGTGTGTGTGTGTGTGTGACGTATCCAAAATAAAAGCAATGGAAATGAATTATTGGAGAAGATGTTGCCAACTCACTAAGGAATACTGAAATCAGAGAACTTATGGGCATAGACATTGACATCCTGGAAACTGTAGAATGCAAAAGGCTGAAATGGTATGGCCATGTAGAAAGGATAATTGATCAACGATGGCCAAAGATAATGTTACAGTGGATCCCCACCAACCGCAGGAAAAAGGGAAGACCAAGAATATCGTGGAGACAAGAAGTAAAAGGTGCAATGGAAGATAGGGGTCTACAAGTAGATGACTAGAAAGATCACAAGCGTTGGAAGCACTTGGAAGCGTACGTGGAGTACTTTTTTGAACATATTATGTACAAAAACTTTTTTAAATATTTTTAACTCTTAATCTTTGTGTCCTGATGAAGCTGACAAAAAATCAGCAAAAAAAATCATTAAAAGAAAAAAAGAGTTTTTTTTAAAATAACAGACCGCTCACCCTATACTCCAACAACAGTATATACATATACATATATATATATATATATATATATATATATATATATATATATATATATATATATATATATATATATATAACTTTAAACCTCAATTTTTCATTTTAACCTCCCTTGTGTAGATACCACTTTTGTGCTTAGCACGGCAGCATAGCCAACGTTTGAAAGCAATTATGGCACAAAAAAAGAAATTCATATTCCAATGACATGTGCAATGCTTATTTTTAATCATCTGGTTCTGATAAAAATATTTTTTCTTAGATTGGGTTTCCATATGTGATAAAGACCAAGAGATCGCAGATCTTTTAGTTACTTGAGTCACGTGTTAAAAACGCTACTTTGGAGTAATTTTGAACATATTACACATTGGTATAAATTGTGGTTGCTGAACGATACGGTTAAAGCCATTCAGATCGTTATCGTATCAATTGGTATAATCCGACAAGCGAGAGCTGGCGACAAGAGAGATAGGAGAGGTACTTAATCGCGATTATAGGTATATAGTATAGGCACTTAAACGGTTATACACGATGTAAACTCCTAGACGACTGCAATAGAAATGAGCAATTCCTTCTACTTTCCAATTTCAATTTGTTCTACGCGCAAACCGCCAGCTCCCGCTTGTCGGATTATAAATTAGTACGATATAGATTTCATACGACATAGTTTTTGATAAAAAAAATAAAACAATTTAAAATTATTATATAATTTAATCACTAATCAATAAATAATAAACAGATGTTGCTCATCTCTTGCACTCATATTTTTTCTTGTTTCATTCGCGGGAATCATTCGTCAGACTTTTCTTTTTAGTGTAATCCGTAAGCCAAACCTTTACCTAGAAACAAATAAGTCAATGTTAGAAAGGGCATTTAACAATTAAATAAAAATGACGATATGTATGTGAATATTTATAGCATTCATTTTAATAAGTGTTAGGTGGGTCACATAAAAGAAAACATTTAAAGTTTAAATTAGAACAGGATCAAGAACAGCAAGGAAGGACCTATTTTTGTAATCATTTAAACAACTATGTACATAATTAAACATAAAAGCAATAAATAGGTGTTTGAACAATGATGTTTGATTAATGCAATATTGATAATATTCAGTTAATATTGAAAAATGCTGAAATGAAAAGAATAGGAAATGAGGATGCGATTTACTTAATCTATAATGAAATATCCCATGACTAGTTTCACATCCCTGTATGGATGTGAAACCTGGATTATGAAGGTTAACATGATGAACAAATTAGAGGCTTTCGAGATGTGGTTATATCGTAGAATGCTCAGAATATCATGGGTTCAACACATTTCGAACAGAGAAGTCTTGAACAGAGTATAGGTCAAGGGAAAGCTGACTTAATAAAGATGATAAAAAAGAGAAAACTCGAATATGTGGGGCATATACAGGATAATGCAGTTGAGACTCAATGGAAAGATCGACGTAAGAAGAGGAATTGGTAGAAAGAAATACTCATGGTTCTGAAACCTTCGTCAATAAACTGGCATATTAGCAAATGAATTATTACATGCCACGCAAGATCGAGAACGATACCGGCAAATCGTCAAGGAAGCTACCCACGCCTAAAACTTGGGCACGGTACTCAAAGAAGAAGATAATAAAATAAGCAGTTAATACGGCTTATTGATAAGTTCAAGAAGATGATTTTTTTTGAACCTATTCTCTATCGTTCCATTGTTGGATATAGGTCTCCCCCAGTTCTCTCCATCTTTCCCTATCTTGAGCTGTTCTCTGCCATGTGGGACCTCCTTGTTTCCTGATGTCATCTTTCCACCTCATCTGTGGTCTGCCAGTTGATCTCTTTGCATTGTATGGACGCCACTTTCCGATGGCATTGTTCCATCGTCCGTCTTGGGGACGTTCATTGTGTCCAGCACATTTCCATTTCAGTTTTGCTGCTTGTTCTATCGCGTCTACTGTCTTTGTTCTTGTTCTGATCCACTGGTTACGTTTTCTGTCTCCAAGTGATACACCCAACATTTGTCTCTCCATCGCTCTTTGTGCCTTCCTTATCCTATCCAAATTGGCCTGTGTAAATGTCCATATCTGTGCTCCCTAGGTGAGCACCGGTATTATACAGGAGTTATATACCTTGCTTCGTAAGTATAGAGGGATTGTTTGATTTTTTAGAACGTAAGAAAGTTTGCTGAACGCTGCCCATCCCATTCTTACTCGTCTCGATATTTCGGCTGTTTGATTTTCTCTGTTAGCTCTGATTGCTTGTCCTAGATAGATATACTTATTTACCTGTTCTATTTTTTCTGTTTTTATTTTTATTGCCTCTTGGTCTTCCATGTTTGTCATTACTTTTGTTTTGTTGAAGTTAATTTTTAGGTCTTTTTGCAGTGATTTTTCATGAAGTTCATTCAGCAATAATTCCAGTTCTTGTCGTTTCGAGGAGATCAGGAGTATATCATCCGCATATCTAAGGTGATCTAAGAAGATGATAAATAAACAAAAATACACAGTAGGGTATAATAGTACATTGGTGTACGTCCTTAGACACATGCACCAAACAACATAACTCAATGAAATAAAGAGACGTAGGCTGGAATACTTTGGTCTCATTATGAGCTACTCTGAAAAATATTAACTTTTACATCTGATCATTCAGGAAAAGATCCAAGGTAAACTTTGTCCTGATAGAAGAAGAACATCATGGTTGAAAAATCTAAGACAAAGGTATGGAAAATCGACTACATAATTATTTAGAGCTGGTGTCAATAAAGCCAGGTCAGCGTTTGCCAGATTGAGCAAGATATGTAAGAGTCACGACCTACCTTTAAAGAAAAAAATTCGTTTATTGAGATGCTACGTGTTTACAGTGCTGCTCTATTGGGTTGAATCATGGACACTAACCGAGGCATCCATGGTAAATTTGAGGATACTGAGGATCTCTTAGGTGGACCGAGTAACAATCATTGAGGTTCTACGTCGGATGGATAAGACATGTGAAATTTTATCATATAATGCAGTAAAACATCATATAGCATTATATATACAGTAAAACAGCACAACCTAGAATATCTTCGACATATAATGGGAAACGACCATAGATATAACCTGCTGCAACTTATATTACAGGGAAAGGTCTACGGACAGATAGGGCCAGGAAGAAGAAGAATATCATGGCTGGCGAATTTACGAAACTGGTTTTCCATGACCACTTCAGGACTATTTCAAGCTGCGGTCAATAAAGTTAGAATTACCATGCTAGTTGCCAATATCCGTAACGGATAGGCACCACAAGAAGAAGAAGTCAATAAAGCCACGACAGCGAATATGGTAGTCAACATGATATCCAACGATCTATAACAGTCATGGAACTTAAAGAAGAAGTAGAACTAAGAGGAACAAATACATATATGTACAGAAAAAAAATTAGAATAAGAAAATACTTGTATACTTTAGTTTCCTATCCATTTAATAGCTTCAATAGAAATAGAAAAATATCTATAACAAATGATTACAAAGAAAGGCACAATACCTATGCCATTTTAATAATACAATACCTAAATCACTAACTCATTTTTGCTATCAGCAAGAGTATAGTGTACTTACCTAAGGCCCATGGAGCAATAGCGACAGGAGCGGCAACTTTAGTGATGACAGGGGCAGCAACAGCAACTGGAGCAGCAACTTTGGTAACAACGGCCGTTGGATTCAAAGCTAGCAAGTTGTTGTTTTGCCAGGAAGTCGCTCCATGTGCTACAGCTACGGGAGCATGCGCTACAGCGACGGGGGCATGGGCTAAAGCTACTGGAGCAGCAACAGCTACAGGAGCTGAAGCATAAAGACCATGCCCATCGTCATAGCCTCCTAGACCAATGACGCCAGCACGGGCGGCGCAGATGAGCATAGCAAGTACACACTGTAAGAATAAATCATTTAAATAATATATTCCAGTTTCCTTCAAATAGAAATTGATCTTAATAAATAATTTTAAAAGATAAATGAATACTTAAAATTATAATCACATATTCGCATAAATAATTCACTGAATCACATGGCCGTAAGCCAATTTTCCGGTACCTATAGACAGAATTCTGCGTTACAACTTAAAATAATCTGCTATGCAAACGACGCAATACTACTCTCTCAAAGTGAAGAAGATTTACAATGTATGCTGCACCAATTTAATATAACCGCTATAAAATTTAATATGTTAATTTCTCTAAAAAAGACAAAATGCATGGCGTGGTTGTCACAGCAAATTTACTAAGATGTAAATTGCTGAAAGGTCAGCCAATAAAACAAGTGATGGAGTTTAAATCTTTAGACATCACACTATCTGGCTAGGGGAAGCTCGAAACAGAAGTGGAAGAGTAAGTGAATAGAGCAAACATAGATGCAGGTGGCATGGATGAAACAATATGGAGAAATAAAAATATCGGAAATGAAATGAAAGGCAAAATTTACAAAACAGTCATTAGCCACAAATAATGACTTACGCGGCAGAAATATGAGCTGACACAGAGAGGACAAAAATAATGTTAAAAGCAGCAGAGATGAAAAGTCTTAGAAAAATTGATGGTATCAGACTATGGGACATAGTTAGAAGCATAGATATACGATGTAGATGTAAGGTGGAGAACATCAAGGACTGGGTAAGTAATAGAAGAGTAGAATGGAACGATTATATAACAAACCGAATGACAACAAATAAAGCAGTAAAGCCGGCGAAAGACGGTTCCCCAATAGGAACACGATCAGTTGGAAGACCATGAAAACGATGGAACAATAACTTACTGGAGGCTCATTGAAAAACAGACAGTATCTTTTTATTTGTGAAGTTCGTGATTCATGTGATTTTATTATTATTTATTACAAACTTAAAAGATAATACACAAAAAAGAAAACTCTAATAAATAGCAAAAAAGTACTTAAAACTTATTGCACGAAAGAAAGGCGCAGAACAAGCGCAACAGGTGACAGATACACTAATGCAACCAAGAAGAGAAGGTGGCTTTACGTGCTGACCTATGAAGACATGAAGAAACTAGTTTCCTTTTTTAAACGTAACATATCACCTCCTAGTATTGATACTGCAGGGATAGGAAAATATTTGACAATTGGCAATAAAAGAAAAGAGTAGAAGATCAGTTTCTAAACCAATTGTTCTAAACCAGTTTTAATTGGTCATAGATTGTCAAACCAATTAAAAAAATGTTTATTATTTGATCCATTGAAGTTAAACGAAACAAATAGGGCACTTATGTAATAACAGTTTGGGAGTTCTTTTATCTTACAATATGATAATTGAATATATTTTGAAAATCATGTTTTAACTCAATGTTCATCGCCTTATATGAAAATATTTGATAGTAGAGTTGGTTGTAAAACGTATTTATTGCCAGTACAAATATTTAAAAAGTGCATAATGCCAAAAAGCTTTAAAATTAAAAAAACCAGAAATAACATATGATCAAGATGAAGGTGTTGGCTATTCTGATTATGTATTAAGTCCCTAACTTAATGGGATTATTTTTTAAATTAATGTTCTTTCTAATTTTTTAAAAAAATAATTAAACATATTTAAAAAATAGGCTTTACACTGGGCTTTACTAGAGTGAAGGATAAATTTCTTCACTTAAAACCATGTGAACAGTATTTAATACTTTTACTTTCATCATCATCATATAAAGGGGGTCCTACGGCGATTGCCGCTTCCCGCATTTCAGCCTCCATCTTTTCCTACTTTACTCATATACACATACTCATACTTTTACTTTACTCATATTAAATATGAACTACACCCGAATTGGAAACAGTAGGATCCACCATTGTCACAGAGGATTCTGTGCTCAAGTTTCCACTACCTAAAGACTACTCAATATATTCTGCTGAACATTATGCGATTTTCAAAGGCAGTACAAGAAAGCTTTGGACCTGAAGATATGACAGTAATATTTACAGATTCCTTAAGTGCAATCCAGGGAATTCAGAAAATATATCCGAATCATCCGATTTTAGAACAAATTAAAAAATCCTTGTGACTACAAAATAATCATAAACAACTACATATTGTGTGGATACCATTTCATATGGGAATACCAGGAAATGAGATAGCTGATCAAATGGCCAAAGAAGCTTGTAAAATGGAGAGTCGATGATAGAACTAACCAAATTCTTCACTCAGATATGAAAAAATGCATCAATGAGTATACAAAAAACTTATGGTTACGAAGATGGCAACTCTTCAAATAATAAATTGCGGCAAGCAAATTCAGATCTATCAGCGAAAACACTAATTTTAGTAAAGCGAAGGGACTAGGTTGTACTACATCGTATCCGAATAGGACATACCAGACTGACGCACGAACACCTACTAAGGAAGGAACCTCCTAGAATATGCTACGCCTGTGACACCAATATAACTGTAGGCCACATTGTTATAGACTGTCCATTATATCGAATGGAAAGACAAGCTACTGGACCTGGACTACCAAGTGATATAAAGTGCGCTTTAGACAGTGCGGATTGTGACAAAATCATTAGGTTTTTAAAGAAAACGAAATTGTATAATCAAATATAAGTGATACTTCAAGAAAAATTCTAAATTATAATCAACTTTGTAAAAACTTTATATTTTATATTAATCATTATTAATAAAATTCTATGGTTGATGCGGTTTATTCCCAATAAAAAAAGTACGAACTTAAGCTTGTTATGCTATTATAGATGTCAATTGATATTTGTTTTAAAAAAATTCAAGACGTTTTATTAGTTTAGTAAAAAATAACATTTATTAGATGTTTTTAGAATGTTTACTTGCTGAAGATCAATGATGAACCACAACACATCTGCCAAGATTTTAATGACTGTAATTATAAAGAATGACCTGGGAAGCAGTAGGTAAACTAAGCTTTACTATAAAAGATCCAAAGATCTCAATTAATTTAAAACAAAAAATTTTTGAAACATATATCCTTCATTTTATGACTTATGGAATGGAGATCATGACACTTACTAACCAGTATCTTAATAAAATTGAAAGAGGTACTTAAATCATGGTAAATGTCAACTTAAAATATCATATGTGACATGAAGACCTAAGAAGAAACATTAAAGTAGACGATGTTATTGAAGGTAGCGCAAAATCTCTAGGTGGAAATTGGTAGGAATTATGGCAAGAAAGAGCGAAGTGGACTAAGAGACTAATACAAAGAACACATAAACGAGACATAGAAAGGCCATACAAAAGAGGGATTTAGGATATCTAGATAAAGAAAAGGCAGGGAGAAACTGGCAGCAGATAGCTCATGACAGGCGAACCTGTAACAACACAAAGGGAGATCTGTGTCCACGAGTGGACCAAAAAAAATTTTAGTATCTCAAAAATATAGTATATCAAAAGCTCAATAACAGATCAACTCTGTAGGATTAATCAACCTGAAATAAACATATATCATATATATTTAATATATTTAATTTACCTCTAGGCTTAGTACTATGTTGTTAACAAATGCAATAAATAGGTCTATATATCATTAACAAACTCAAGAACTCAAATACATTATCGTGGCTGAATGGATCAAGTTATCCAAAGCCATTAATTAAATAAAAAAAAGTTTAGATCCAAGAATATAAATAAGAAATAGAAACTAAAAACTATATAGTTATAAGAAACCAAATATTAAGAAAATATTTAAACAACGGAATATATACACCGAAAATCGATGAAGGAGAAGAAAAACAGGAAATTAAAATATAAATAATTAAAAATGAACAAATAATATGTTAATATGGTAGATATAAATTCGTAAAAGAGAACGGTAAGGTAATATAATTCATATCGATATAAGTGGAGAAATATCACCAAAAAGTTGGCTCAATAACTTTTTTTTAGAGATAAAGTAAGATAGTATAACGATGTCTGCATATTTCCGTTGTCCAGTATCTAACGCCTTCCGGTAGGGATCAATTAATGGAATTTGTCGAGCCACGAGACACTGTTTCACGGATGTACCGATTCTATTCACTCGCGAATACCAATTATAAGCCGCAGATACACAGTCCGAAAATGCTTATGTATAATGCAGTAGTTACTAAAAAAAATAAGAACTTGTTACTGTTTCCTGTATATATACTTTCATAAAATAATGAACAACACACATGGAACAGAATTAAAAACAATCTTGTGGAACAGAATTTATCTGAATTTGAATTTGTACATTAAAAAGCAAAACAATTTCGATATTAAAGTCCTTTTTTGTCGGGATAATATTATTTTTCCCTAGGTATTTAAATTACAATGACAAGAGAATGAATGGTCTTCGCAGTGGTAACATACTAGAGTATTGAGTTAAAACAGAATAATCAAAATACTTTTTTTAAATTACGGAAAAAAATGCTCACAAAGCCAGGAGGGAAAACTAAAGTTTATATTTTTATACAAGACTATTATGGAAAGCGTGAAGAGCAGACAGATTATCTACTCGAACTTGAAAGAGATCCAGTTTTTAATAACTTAAATATTTTCCAATTATGTGATACGATTCCAAAAAAGTTTACAGCAAATATTTATTCTCCGCTAATAGAACACCCCGTAGCAATAATTTCACAAAAACTAACTTACCACTCGGAACATTTTGATTTCGAGAGTAATATTAAGTTGTTCACAAGACACTGTTGGACTCAATGATTTGCTCGTAATTGTTGTGTTGTTTTATAGGGATTGAGACCCGCCCCACCGAATCTATGATTCAAGTATATGAAAATTACTAAACTAGATCACTACCCAAGTACAATGGACGTTCAAGAGAGGTAAAACAACTTGAAAATGCAGTCCTCGGCAATGGAAGAATAAAAAAATTTGTTTATTACTATTCGTATTACTACCGTACAGAGATGTACTTTCGATATTTTGAAAATGGAATTGACAAAAAAATTATAATTGTTTTTTTATTTTAACATTTTATGTGTACGGTTGTTACTGTAACAGTATATTACTGTCCACTATAGAAATTTATCTCTTTATATCAATATCTTAGGTACACGTAGGTCAGTTAAATAATCTCATTACCTCGTCATTGGTTCTTATCTTCCCTTCTCAAAAGATCTTTTCAAGTCAATCAAGTTTTCCGCGGTTAGTACAAATAAACCTAGAGCTAAGATTAATACTATTACAGGAATTAATATTAAACTCAACAGATCCTTTCTACATCCTCTTCGATGTCTTCTTCAGGGCTTCCGAGGTCTCAGTCCCCGAGACTTCAGACATTACTATACTGAACACTAATCAATGCATTACTGGTACTGGGAATAGAGGAAGGGTCATTTGTACCGTCGATGGTGACGTGGCTTGGGTGGAGGTTGGGTGGGTATGATTTTGATTGGGACTACACTGGGATGGCTTGGGAATTAACATAAACGGGCAAAATCTGAATCATTTACGATATGCTGATGATATTGTATTATCAATTACGGAGAATGATGAAAGAACTAGATAGAGAATCGACAAAAATTGGACTCAAGATGAATTACAGTAAAACAAAAACCATGACTAATCAACCAGAAGAACTAATAATTATAGTGGCACAAACAAGAATAGAACAAGTAAAAGAGTATATATATATCTAGGCCAAATCATTAAATTAAATAAAGAAAATCAGACCGAAGAAATAAAGAGAAGAATAAGATTGGCATGAGCATCATTAGGAAAACTGTCTTATATTCTAAAGAATTTAAAATATCCCAAAACCTAAAAACGAGAGTCTTCAATCAATAAAGGAAAATATGGAAAAAATAGCAAAGACAGAGAGATCCATGGAAAGACAAATGCTGAACATTAAACTATCAGACAGAAAAAGAAACGAATGAATCCGTAATAAAACAAAAGTGACAGATGTCTCGACCCAAGTAGCAAAGCTTAAATGGAAGTTCGCCGGACACACCCTAATGCAGAAAGATGAAAGATGAACTAAGACAATTATACATTGGAGACCATGGAATCACAATGATGACGTGAAGAAACACGCCGGGTCAAAATGGATGCAAATTGCCCAAGATAGAGAGGTATGGAAGAAGGATTAGGAGGCCTACATCCAAGAATGGATGTTTAGGGCTGTCTAGATAGATAGATAGATGATTTTGATTGACGGGTGGAGCGGAAGGTTTTTTCTTTATGAGAGGTCTCCAAGTCGAAGGTAACCGTATGCCGGAATCTATTTTATTGAGACATGAGAATAATTATTGGTTTATAAAAGCGCATAGGGGCTATGGTTCTGGAGTTTTCAAAATCAATTTTGTGACCTGTATGAAGATGGTGTTGACTTAGAGCTGAAATTGAGTAGGAATTGCGAACAGAAATGGAATGTTTATAAATTCTATTTTTGATTCTACGATTTGTTTGGCCTATATAGGATCGGGAGCGGTCTGCAAAAGGAATTTCAGAAACTCCGTGTTATTCATTTGGAATGTTGTCTTTGATTGATCGCACAAGGGATGAGAGATTTTGTTGGGAGGTAAATATTGTTTTTATTCCATTTGATTTTGAATTTTGTTTAGATTGTGTGGGAGATTAATATCTGTGAATGCTCCTATTGATGTGATTTTTGCGGTAACCGTTTTGGATGAAGGCTTGTTTTAAACTAGAGAGCTCAGCAGGTCTACTTGCATCATCGCAAAGGCGTACTGCTCTGAAGACAAACGTATTAATGGCTGAATTAATTTATGAAGAGTGATGATGAGAATTGGCAAGTAACGATTGGTATGGGTGAGTTTTTGATAGAGTGATGAAAAACTTGGGATTGGTTTTTCGTTACTTTTTCTATGGTCTTTAATAATAACATTTTTATTTCAAAACTCTTTATTTTACTGCTTGATTTTAAAATATTGCTTAAGTGAGTTAATATTTCTTAAATGCCTCGAAAATAATTACATATATATATATATATATATATATATATATATATATATATATATATATATATATATATATACGGGACCGTGACACCTTGTTGCGACCGTCAAGGTGTCACGGTAGTAGATAGATACATAGGTTTATTGACAATTTTTACATAGTAAACACTACATGTCATGTCACAATAAATATAAGTCACTTTTGTATATTAAGAACTAAGAAATAATACAAGAATACATAATAAAACATATACCTAGAGTGAAAATTAGATATATAAAATTATAAAAATAAAGAAACAATTCAGTAAGGCGTAATATAGTTTTCATAAAAAAAGTAACTAAACGAAATAGCATAATTCGTGGCGCAACTTCTAACGTATACTCCCTTGATAACGAACACGATTATTACGAGATTTCGCTTATAACGAGGTAAATTAGATGTCCCGTGAAATTGCTATTGAACTATAACCATCTATAGCGAGGCAAATTTGGTTATAACTGCCTCCCACAATAAACTTCTGTTTAATCTACCGACCGATACTGCGTTGTCGGAAATTTACAAATTATGATTTACAAGTGTCAGTGTAGGAGTTTGACCATTCGCACCTAATAAACTACGTAAAAAGGCTTAAAAACATGACAAATGAATCAAATTTTACCAGAATTTCATTTCACAGTTGTTTTTGTCGTATATGTTTATCGTTTGTTTCCTGATTGTGTTTTCACGTCTTGAAAGGTGTGTTGTAGATAACATAGTAACATAAATTACACGCTATGACTCCTAAAAGAAAAGCATTTACTATAGAAGAAAAATAAAATCCTTAAAGATGTAGAGAACGGTAAGAAGAAAGCAGAAGTTTGACGTGAAAGAGGATTTTTAAGTTCGACTTTATTTACCGTGTTCAAGAATAAACACATCAATATTTTCGGAGTAGGTTTGTATTTTTCCGGTAAATCAAAAAAACTACGTGCCGCAACTAATAAAGGACTCGATACTGCAATGGTCAAATGGTTTACAGTAAACAAGGCTGCGAATGTTCTAATAAGTGGAGTACTGCTTCAAGAAAAAGCAACACAGTTTTCGCAGGTGCTAGGTGGCGATGGGAATTTTAAAGCATCGAGTGGGTTGATGAGCCGTTTTAAGACCAGACGTTTGAAGCGAAGAGTGTTTCCAAAGAAGTCACTGACAACTGGTTGAAGTCATGGCCTACAATAAGACAAAATTATAGTGACGATAATATTTTCGTGGATTATATATTTATATATTTCGTGGAAAAAAATCGTGGATTGGATGACAGCAGGGATTTTTAGTGGAGAACTTTTGAAATAGGACAGAGAGTTGTGACATCCGAAAGTTAACGGTTTAAAAAACATTTTACGTTAAAAACTTTTTTTTATCCCCAAATTGCATCTGTTCTGCAACTTAAAGTTCACCACAGAAAACTCTTAGTTAAGCGGATCCTGTATAATTTGGAAAACCGTAGTGAATCCCCTGTTACTTTATTAGATGCCATAAATTACATCTACAAAGCATGGACACTCGTAGATAAAAAACCATCAGAAAAGTTTCGCTCATGTAGGGTGGACAGAGACTGAGAGAAAACGAGAAAACTGTAGAAAACGAAGAAAATTAATATCCCGTAGCAGACTTATTCACGTTACAACAGCAAGGTCAAGAAAAAACCCAACTGAACATTGATGACGAGTTTACTGAACTCATTGCCATTTATGATGTGAAGTTATCGCGAAAGTAATAAATCCGCTGCCCGAGCGCGTTATCGTCAGTGTGAACGTGATAAAGATGGAGAAGACAATCGCGGTGAATCTAGGCAAGAAGGTCCTGATAGAAAAGATGTGAGAAGTGCTTTAAACGTTGTAAGAAACTTTATCCAAAGACAACGCAAATGAAGAAGCATACAACTGTTTCACATCTTTAGAAAATATGATAGATAGAATGATACTGGATAATTTAAAGCAGTCAAAAATGACAGACTTCTTCCAATTATAAAAGCAATAGTTTATGTTATCCTTAAAAATGCGCTTGATACATTATATGTAGTTGGAAAAAAATGTAAGTAAATATTTTTTGTTTTAACGTATATCATTTACAATAAAAGTAAACAACTCTTTTTTGTTTTAACGTATTTCATTGACAATAAAAGTAAACAACATTTTTTGCCAATACGCCATTCAAACAATATTTAGCATCTTTATTGCTCGGAATGGCTTCACTATAGGAAGTTAATGTTTTAGAAAACTATATATATATATATATATATATATATATATATATATATATATATATATACTTAGTTGTCATTTAAGTTCTAGTTATACAGGTAGTCTACTGTACTACAGATAAAAGCGCCTCGGCATGGCGCTGTAATCACTTGGAAGAGGTCATTTAAGCGACGGAAATTTTTGTATGTTATTTCTAAAATCCCGGATAAAAAAACCTCTGCTGTTATCGATAAACGATAAATATTAAGTAATCGTTTTGGTCACCGTTACCGCGAACGAGTAAAAGCAAATTTACTTACTGCATTGAACATTACAATACGGAGCCCTTCGAGAGCTATGAGACCTTGCCATGGGAAAGGTGAGCAAACGCCATTGTATGGACGTTACGGGAGGTTCAATGGTGAGTATCAGATGGCACTCACTAGGTTGCATGAGAAGTTTGCGTTATCCTTCTCCAGGCATCCTGGAATCTCCTGGAAGTGACCATCCATTCCTTAACTGCTCGTAAGAAGAAGAAAGTCTGGCACTGGATTTTATTACAGG